AAAATTCTAATACACTCCTAAGAAACACTGAGTATTGCATTTCAGAAAAAAAAAAACAGCCTGAAATCCATCTCACATACCATGTCTGATAGTTACTCGTTTTATACTGCAGACCACACGCAGGGGTTGGAAAGTCAAGTATCGTGTGGAGGTTTGTGGAGGATAGTTTTGATCCCAACATTAATCCCACAATTGGGTAAGCAAACTGCAAAGCACACTCACAGTGAGGTCAAGCAAACTGTGATGCAGGTTTTTCTGATTTCTAACGTGCAATTCTGAAGGATTGGCACATAGCAAACACAGCAAGTGGCGACATGCACTGAAATGGAAGCTGTTTGAAGCAAACAAAAGTGATACATAGTGTGTTGAAATTTCCTGAGGATTAGTGTCCGAAAGCACTGTATCAAAAAACAACTTGATTTATTATTATTAAAACATATAATCTTAGTAATAATAATTCAATATCTTAAGAAAAAAAAATGTAAATCAGCATCTGGAACTAGTTACACCAGCTGACCTGTTGGTGCTGATAAGTCTGAATGTAATAGAGATTCACATTGCGTTAAGTGATTTAATATACAGCATTGATTGTATAATACATGTTCCATCACTGTGTGTTAAAGATTTAAACTGTGTGACCCATTTTAATTGAGTTACATACATGTGAATCCAATTGACACACATTTCAGGGCTCAACAATAAAGATTTTTATGCTGTCCCAGTGTCCCAGTCAGGCCAGCCATTCAGATTTGTGACCCTGGACCACAAAACCAGTCATAAGGGTCCATTTTTTAAAATGGAGATTTATACATGATATGAAAGCTGAATAAATTAGGTTTCCGTTGATGTATGTGGTTTGTTAGGATAGGACAATATTTGGTTGAGATACAACTATTTGAAAATCTGGAATCTGAGGGTGCAAAAAAATCTAAATACTGAGAAAATCGCCTTTAAAGTTGTCCAAATTAAGTTCTTAGCAATGCATATTACTAATCAAAAATTGGTAGAATACATTAAACAAAGCTGAGAAACTTATTGGATGCATAAATAAATGCATTGTAAACATTTCTGAAACATTTAATAAACAAGATCAGCAGATGTCTCAGATTCCATGCCAACCTATCTATTTGTATTTGTATGCCTAATGTTATTATTGCTCGTGCCAATTTTTTTTCAGAGCATCATTTATGACGAAGACTGTGCAGTACCAAAATGAGCTTCACAAATTCCTCATCTGGGACACAGCAGGACAAGAAAGGGTAAACAGTAACAATTAGTACACACACTGGGGTGACACATACACAAGCTGAGAAAGGAAAAATTGAAATCGCATCATATGACCCCTTTAAATACAATGTTTATACTCTTTCACTTCTGTTTTTGCAGTGTCTTTGCACTTCAGACAGGGGGCAGTATTGCATGCACTTCTCTTGTATGCACGCATGCATTTGAGAGAAAGAGAGGTTTATGATATTGGAAGGGGGCTGGTCTTCTTCATGTATCTCTATACGCTCTATATCTTTACACTCTTCTCTCCCAAAACGCTCTACTACGTTAGGCAAGACAGCTGAAGTGTATGGGTGACATTGCATAGTTTGAAATGATTATCACCGCTCATGATTTGACGGCGGTCTTGAGGCTGTTTGGAATATGATCTCCTCTTATGTTTGTCTGTGATATTATGTGATGCTAACTGTAGAATGCCAAGCGGCCCACACAAGCTGCTAGAAAGAATAGTACCATACCAAGTGTTAAGGAATTGCTCGTCTCTTTTTATGCAACTACATCGAAGATCTAGGACTTTTTTACATGTAAAGCAGGAAAATAAAAAGTTTTGGATTATGATGAATTTAAAACACAGAAAAAGCTTAGAAAATTAACTGGAAAATAAATATTTTAGGTCAAATGTAACATAATTAGTGGGATTTGTTACATTCTTTGTTCAAAAGATAGACATGGCCTTATATTCACAATTTTCACTTAAATTGTTTTGATGGTAATATAATTTATATATATAAAAATGGTATTAAATTAGAAAAATGCAAAATAGAAGTATTGGTCTTGAATGTTTGGATCCCACTCCATATGAAAGAATGAGCATATGGGAAAGTCTGACTTATCTAGCCTCTTTACCCTCATCTGGTCCTGTTTAGCGCTTTGATGTATTCCCACCGGTAAATATGGTGCAAGTTCATCATCATGGCCTTTGAGTTGTTAAAGAGGTCAGGTTTTCTTTGCTTTACTTTGTTCGGGATGCTCCAGAGCCTGATAGGATGAAATGCTAGGCCATGTCAGAGATAGTGGTTTTTAGAAGAGCAATCAATGCCAGAATCTCTCTCTCTCTCTCTCCCTTCCTCCCTCTTAGTGTCTTTCTTCTTTCTTTTTGAACTTCAAGCTCTATTGTGATTTTGAGAAGAGAAGACAGTTTTGTCCACAGATTCCTATGCTCCAGTGGGAGCTGTGATCAGGCTTTTCACTGGCTGTAAAGTGCTTGATTAGATAATTATCCGACACATTGCTTTTTAGAACAGCATTATAGAAACATGGCTTGTTTTGTATTCTTTGGTTTTTGCTTTAGTGGTTTTGTGGGTGCATTAAATTGATCAAAAGTGACAGAAAAGACTTTACATAGTTACAAAAAATTTCAAGTAAATGCTGTTCATTTGAACTTTCTGTTCAACGAAGAATCCTGGGGGAAAATGCATTATGGTTTGCACAGAAATATTAAGAAGCACGACTGTTTTCAACATTGATAATAATAAGAAATCAAGACATTTCCTGAGCAGCAAATCAGCATATTAGTCTGATTTCTGAAGGATCATGTGACACTGAAGACTGGAGTAATGTTGCTGGAAATTCAGCTTTGATCACAGGAATAAATGACATTTCAAAATATATTGAAATAGAAATGTATTTTCAATTGTAACAATATTTGATCAAATAAATGCAGCCTTGGTTGAGCACAGGAGTCTTCTTTTAAAAACATTTTTCAGAAACTTATTTCCATTAGATATAGGCAGAAATAAAAATTGCATATAGCTAGCAAAGCGATTTCATGAGGTCTTTAAAACCGACAAATCGACTTAATGGCAAGAGTAATTTGAAGAGGTAGTGACTGGAGGAAGTTGGATGAGAGAAAATGCAGGAGTAGAGTTGGAGAGGGACCACACAGTCTGGAATCCTGGGATATGTCTGAGGAGACATCCTGCAATTTTAGTCAAAATCTAAACTGAAGCATTTCCTCTTCCTTGTGCAGCGAACTTTGCCTAAAACGGCTATAAATGGGAGAAACCATGTAAGTCAAACTTGATTCATTCATTTTATTGGCGAAAAAGATGGATTAAGCAGAGCTCCGACCTGTTTTCTTAACTTAAATCCAATTTATATTGGATTTATACAGCGTTTTCATTAATTAAATAATAAATTTTGAATGGTGTCAAATGAATCTGTAGAATAGTTATTAATAAATGTTATCTCAAGTGATCTCACTTAGTACTGATGCATTGATCAGCAAAACCAGTTAAGAACTACAAGTTCCAATTGGTTTTAGATATTATTTGAAAATGTATGTATGTTCACGCATATTGCTTTATTCACTTTTATTGATGAAAACTAGCAGTTCATAAAACATTCCGTTAATGAGCACAAATATATTACTGTACCCCAATTTGCAGCTCATAACTGTTAATTGTAAAGATCTCAGTAATTTGCCAAAACTATAACGTTGGCTAAAAAAATACATTTCTAAACTGTGTATTTGATTTGAAGACTATTTCTCAGGCTAGCTCACACCTAAATTTAAGAAAGTATGTAAAAAAAACTAAACTGCAGCCAAGGCTTCTTGCCATGTCTACTTTCCCTACCCTGTCTCTCTCTTAATCATTCACTTTCTAATGCACTTTTAGCTCTTTTTTTTTTTTTTTTCCGAGGAATGGCATACTGGATCCAGCTTGTTTTTATTAATCAGAGCCTTTTTGATCTATTTTTGATGACCGGGGTCGAACAACCCAACTATGCTATTTTATAATGATTAAACACTAACTTCTTCTGACACGTCGCGCTCATCTTTCCCCTGATGGCTCCCACATGTGTTGATACGCCTTTCCATGCAGTTCCTCAACTCAAGCCCCCTTGGCATGGCCATCTGAAACACAATTCTCCTTTAGGTTTTAACAGTGGCTCACGTCTAGAGTTTTTCACCGTGGTTTTCCCTAACCGCCGCCTAGAGTTCTGTTTGAATGGAACAAGTTGGAATAACATGCGTTTGTTTGTGTTTTAGTTGTCCATTTAATTCTGCATGAGACTCGAAGGAGACCTCCGCCAAAGCGAACAAATTCTTTCAAAGCTCTGATAATAAGCATACGCAGGTTGAGATCACCCGCTCGTCCCCTAAGAAGGGATGTTGGGATGTTATCAGTGATGATTAAGTCTTATTTTTATTTTAAGTACAGACCATAATTTTCTCTGTTATCTGTTTCGCTCTTAGTTTCGTGCCCTGGCTCCCATGTACTACAGAGGCTCTGCTGCGGCTATCATTGTGTATGACATCACTAAAGAGGTACTGAAATATTTCTTCATTATTACTACACAAATCTTTCTGCTAGTAAAGCCATTAAAGGGATAGTTCACCCAAAAATGAAAGTTCGGTCATCATCTACTCAACTTCATGTCGCCTGAACTACACAAGATCTTTTTTTCTCCATGGAACACTATAGGAGTTATGAGCTGAGGTAAGACTTTCAGTGAGTAGTGGGTTAAATGTCAGTCTGTTCCTCACACAAGGCTATCATATGGCTTTTGAAGACATGATATGTCATGCACAAGTCATACAGACTAATTTTATGGTGCTTCACAGCTGCTAGTTTGCATTCACGTTCAATTAATGGAAAAGAGCAGCTTGGACAGTCTGCTAGGTAACTCCTTTTGTGTTCAATGGAAGAACTGTTACCACGCAGGTTTTGAGCAACACGAGGGTCAGTAGATAATGACCTTAAAGTCTTATGATGTAGCAGTGTTGCTTGTCTTAAAGATCTCCCCATCTTTCACTCAGGAATCATTCCAGACGTTGAAGAACTGGGTGAAGGAGCTTCGCCAGCACGGACCACCCAACATAGTGGTGGCTATCACTGGCAACAAATGCGATCTCACCGATGCCAGGTGAATTCCTCCATTCCTTGCCACAAAAGACTCTGCATCCTGTCATCTCTATTCAGCTTGAAGGGATGCACCCGCGGTGGCTGTCAGCTCAATTTGACGTTGGGAAAAGACCCGCATATTTGCTGTCAACTTGTCTCGACTCATTGAAAACAAGCTCACACACGTACCATTACCATAAGCATAACTTGTGATGAAAAAGAAATCCACTCTTCAGCGGTCTGTAATTTATCTTTCCACTTTAAATTGCTTCACTCTTCCCACAGGTCCAATGATATGTCTTGGTTCACCATTGCTTTCTTTGGCAGTGTTAGTCGGCTGTCAGTGCGGTTGTATTTTACTTTTCGAAACCATAAAGACCGAGACATAGAATCTGAGGAATAGCGATCGCACCGCAAGCCATTCAGGCAATAAATATCAGGGAAAATTCTTGCAATTGTTCTGTCTGGCACATGAAGCTTAGATATTTCATTTTCTGGCACAACTGGTCCTGTTCTCAGTGATCCACTGCCATCATTTACTTCACTTTTAAACATTGAGTTTATTGTTTCTTTACGTTTTTTGATCCAAGTTTAAGAGGTAAAAAATCTGTCATCATGAAAATACAGTTACTGATAACATTACCCCAACTTAGAAATCTGAATACTATTTAAAATTAAAATTATACTCTATTAAAAGCATAGCTAAAAAAGGCAACTTTATTTTAAGGTCCAATTCTCGCTATTAACAAACCATTAACCAATATTTTATTGGATGTGTGATTTTGTTGGCACAAATCCCATAAACCTGCATTGAAGGACCCCACGTATATTTATGCCTAGTAGACAACCACTCCGAACACACTAGCGATCACAAACTGTAGCATTACCCTAGTTACCACAATCACCCTAGCAAGGTGGCAGGGACTTTTGCACAAACAACCAACAAAACTCAAGTTAATCGAAATGTTTAGAGAAAACATCACCAGCTGGGCAGTTGATCTAAAAGAGAGCGAAGCGTGAAGCGTCAATGGAAAATTGATCCGTTGTCAGTGTGACCGGCCTGAAACGTGTATGGGTGCAATCTGATCAGCACCTGTGATCAGGTGACAGATGCACAGAGAACCAGCACACAATAGTTTACCTCCTACACGCTGCCGTGTACTAGTTAAACACCACCGTCACAAAAAAATACATGAGTTTTACAAGGTTCTGCCCACTCAGATAATCTCCCACACATGTTCGGTGTCAGTTTAAATCTTTGTTGTTGAAAATCTCCAGAATAACACAGACATGCCAGTGTCGTTGAGAGTTTTAAACATGTTAGATTTGTTCATTTATGAAACTGATGACCAGTTAGTGTGGTATAAGTGTTGTAAAATAAGCTACTACTTTTTTTTTTCTTTTTTTTTACTCCACTCTCTTATTTCACCTATTTTCCGCTGCTCTGTCCTTTTGTTTTCCAGAGAGGTGTCAGAGAAGGACGCCAAGGACTACGCTGACTCCATTCATGCCATATTTGTAGAAACCAGTGCCAAAAATGCCATTAACATCAATGAGATCTTCATTCAGATAAGTGAGTAAAATCCTAACTAACTATTCATCTGTGTGGTATGTAATTGACAAGGCTGTAGAAATTTAGACCCCTGTGATTTTAGATGTTATTGTCTTCCCTTGATTGTGCTTCTTAATCAAGCTGGTTTAGTTTTAATAAATGCTGTTTATTGCAACACAATCTATTATTAAAATGATAATGAATGCATGATCTATAATTGATCCTGATGGTGGTGAGAATAGTGCTTCGGTGGATACTTGTTCTTGCCACTTGGACCCGGGGCAGTGGATGAGTTACAGTGGATACAGATCTTTTACCATGGAGCTTGGCAGTGGCCCCGTTGAGGAACATGCGGGTGCATGATACTGTGCTTGTGACTTTTGTGCAGGAACTGAAACAGCAAGTCGTTTTTTTTTTTTTTTTCTCATTTTCATTTTTATTTGGTTTCCTTTACAGGTCAAAGGATCCCAGTTATAGACGCGGATGGCGGGTCTGCAGTCAAGGGCTTCAAACTTCGTCGCCAACCATCAGAGTCGACCAGGGAACGCACTTGCTGTTGACGCAGCCGTAAACAATTTGGCCAGATCCTCTCCAGCCTCTTGTTTTATTTTCGATTAGTAACCAAGGATAATAGCAGATGAAGAATGTGATGTCATAGGGGAAGTTCCGTAACTTCCTTTTGGAGCCAAAAAATAAGTTCAGTTAAGAATGGAATGAGATATATAGTCTGAATCCTGATGCACTTCCTTGAGAAAAGATGAAAATGCCCTCATATAATCGTTGTACCTTATCTTGCCTGTTCTTCAGCCCTTGTCTTTGGGGATCCATTTCTGTTCTAGATCACAAACACCTGCTTAACAGATCAGATACTGTCCTGTCTTGCTCTCTTTCTCTCTCGTTCATTCTCATCTCTGTGCAACAACCTCTGCAAAACTCTATGAAGTTTCCGAGTGAAGCTGTTGTCTCTCCGTCTGTACATTTTAAGATTTTCAGCACTCCTCATGCAAGCAACACAGCGTTCTTGTCCCACTATTTTTGCACATTTTTGTTGTATATGATTTAAAAAAATGTGAATGGGTGAATCTAATGAAAGCTGTCATATTTAGGTCTCATGTCAGTCAAATCAAGTGGAAAAATAGGAAATTATATTTTGCATAAAGTGAAGGTAAAGTCCATTCTTAGGACTATTAAGATGTTTTTCATTGTGTAACAGTATACAATTAATTTCAACTGTAAAACAGTAACTAATATAGCTGTATTACATTAATGATAAATACAGAAATACAGTATGAAAGTGTTCTTAATTGTCCTAAAAGAAATGTAACAAAATGCTCTTAAAAATAGTCCTCATTATCTCTCATTTTTTATTGTGATTATGAGGGTAAAATGACACGGACATGTTTTCATGAGGTTTACTCAAACACAAATTTACTATTATAAGTATCAATAAATGTTTGTATTTCTGTTACGCAGGACCAGACATGAGGTTGTGAGCACTTCTGTCTTTCCTATATTTTGTATATAAAAAAAAAAAAAACTAAAATCAGTGGTAGTACTAAAAATATAAATGAAGATAACTCTGGGATTTAGCAAGAGATGTCTGAGCCTTGGCCAGAAGCCCTATTTCGAGATGAATTTATGAAGTTATATATATATAGAATGTGCCAAATCTTTTTTGTGACAGTAGGAGTTGGATCTTGTAGTAGCAGATCAGTAGGTCAGTGATGCTGATGGCAGCATGCGTGAGTTCAGCAAAACCTTCTGCTTATTTAATCAGTTCGCAAGTCGAGATAACAGTACTAACACATTCTTTGCTCCAATTAACCACATTCTGGGTTGCCAGATTCTTAGCTACAGATCCAGCCTGTTCTTGGATTAGCAAACAGTTAGAATGGACTCTTATGTTTGCCGATAAATGTCCGTTGTTACCACTTGCAGTGCATTATCGTGGCATTAGAGAAGTTCAAACCTCATGCTTTGAAATAAAGTTGGCCATTCTTCTAGAATGCCGACAAGAATAGCAGATTCAAAGTGTTAGATTTGATAACTTTTCCAACTGTTCACATGTTTTTCATATCAGAAATTTCATGTTAGTGGGAAGGAGCCATTGCTGGAATTCTGTACACGAAGTGGTGCGATTTAGGCTTTTGTCCAAGACTTTGTGAAGTGTGCGTTATGTCCAAATACTTTCTAAAATTGCATTTTAACCATTTGTGCTAGTTGGCAGTTGTTTGCTTCAGATCCCTTGCTGTTCCATTTTATGACATTTTTTTACTGGATTGAGTGATTTTGGGAGGACTTGCCAAATGCCCTAATTGTCTCATAAACATTTTTCATCTTTCTCATTCTTTCACTGACTGAATAACTTTTGGCCTGCACATCCAACATGCTTTTACTATCTGGACAGGGATAAAAAAGGAGCATATATGGAAACTAGTCTTGGTTTAGAAAGAACAAGACGTTTAGAAGAAAAAAAACAGCTAAAGAAAGTAGTTACGCTATACCAAATATTCTGCTTTGATTTTTTTCCTGTCACCCAATTTTTGAGCCTAAATGTTTTCTTAAGAGCTCTACTGTCAAATTTGTTGAAGAGCTTAATTTGGGAGAAAAAGTCTTTAAGAATTGCACCTGAGAAACTTGCATTTAAAAGATTTGGATTAATGTACACACTATTCATTCAAGACCATTAAGATAATGTGGTTGAGTGGCTCTTTTTCTATACATCATGTAGAATTTACATTTAGGTTTATTCAACCAAAATTGAACATTATCTTTTACAGTTTTGTCATATATGTGAATATAGAATAAATACATTACAATTTCTTAACTGCATATACCCACAATAGCAAAATGTGCTTAAAATGTGTTTCATCTACATGCACATCAGTATAACACATGACACCATCTCTGTTGTTTTTAGAAATTAGTATGTGGCTTCTGTAATTTGTCTTATGATGGTACTTTAAAAATGTGTAACATATATTATCGCATATGCTTTTGACACATAATATTGGCATATAGGAGTGTTTAGTGAATCGGAATTAATATTATGGGCATCGTCAAAGTCTTGCGTTTCTTTTAACGTCATTTATCCTGTGATTTTATATGCAGTGATGCCAATGCACCGTAATGTTTTCAGGAATTCACAAGTGCAATAATAATACTTTTCCCCTCCAAAATGTGTGCTGTCAGTAATAATAGCTGAGAGATTTATAGACTTATTACAGTAATTGTAGTTAATCCATGAATTTTAACAACAATATTTTCCTTTAGAAGACAGTGATTGTTAAAAGAAAAAAAGGGATTACTTGGAACAATTCTTAGGGGATGAAATTGCACTTTTTCAGAATTGCTGTGTGTCTTTCTTGCCCTAGTTGAAACAACTTGGAAAAATTACAGTCCTAAGCTGTTTCTATTGATGTTTACACAGAGAACAACGTTCAAATTGATTCTTCCAGTGTCTGTAATATACCTTACTGCAAAGTAAAAGTATCTTGCACTCAAACCAGAATCTTGAACTTTTTTATTTTCTTTCTGTCATGTCAAACTAATTGGAGAAGGAAACAGTTCAACTAATGTCACGTGTTATTAAACTCACTGAAGGGCCTTTACAATGTATGGAAATGCATTACTAGCTCTAAATGTTGTAGAATAGCTGTTTTTTGTCTTGTACAAAGCCTGTGATCCACAGCGAGACCAAACGTCTCATTTAGTCCAGTTTAAGTTCTTGACTTCTTAGCCAATTGAAAAGGACTTGCTGAATTGCTTGTCCTCTTGCTAGGGAGCACAGGCTTTGCATTAATGCCTTTGAGGGGAACTACATGCTACACTTGAGTCAGACAGTGTGATATGCCGTCTGGTGTGGTTTGCAGTGGTGTTTAGGTTGAAGAACAATGACAACAGTCTTGGGCTGACCCTAAGAAAGTTGTGAAATTCTGCTTATGTACTTAACGTCCTTGTATATAGCACATAGATGAATTGTGTAAATTAATTGATATGTAGTCTTTCAATGTCATACTTACCATTGTAATTCCGTATATACAAAAGTAATTTAACCCAATCATTAAGTGTTCTTGCTATTTAGCTTTTCTCTTTTATTATTTTGTCATACAATGAAGGCTTGAATATAACATTTTATTTGTGAATGTGCAAAAGGGAAATGTTGAGCTTTTTATTAGTAATAAAATTATACAAAATCTGTTTTCATTTTTGTATGTTATGTAATCAACATACAGCTTTATTGGTTTGTGATCTGGGACAAGTTACTACTGATTATTCTAGTTTCAGTTCAAAAAAAAAAAAAATGGTGCAAATGTCTGCCTGCAGTTTAGAGGGATTGAGAATCTGTTTGGAGCAGGTGATAGTTCCTCCTAAACTGATGGGCTATATATATAAATATGACACTTGTGGTATGTGTCTCCTTTGGCAGGGGTCCCTGCTGAACCTTTAATTGTGCTGAGGAAAGTAAAACGACCCTCTAAGTGCTTGTGTTCAACTGCCAAGCTGAGCATAAATTAACTCACCTAATTCAACTAGATGCAAGTAAAATGTGATCCAGAAACTTGGCTGAGGATCAAGTCATTCATGTTAATTCTTAGATTCCCATATATTCAGTTGGATTACTTCACTGCATTTGAGGAACAGACTTAGATTTTCTCCTCTAACATTATTATTTGTGTGCAACCGGTACATTATGATTAAGCATTTCTTGATTAAGCAAAATCTAAAAACACATTCTAAAATCTACATACAAGTCCAAATCCATGTCTCATGTATCAGAGCATTTATCAGTTGGCATAAATATAGCCTTTTTTTGGGGTAGTTCACTGATAAAATGAAGATTTCTTTTAAATATTTATTTTTATTTACCTCTAAACTTTTTTGCTGTGCCAATCATTATTATAATGTGTTTTAATTAAATGAATATAATTATAACTAAATATGTGTGTGAATGTTATATTATTAATATAATTAAAATTCTATAATTAAATATATTTTGTAAGCATATCATTTAAATGTATTTCACTATTTTCAGTTACCTTTTAAACTTTTTGCTGTGTCAAATACCTTTTTGAGGTACAAATATTTAATGTATCTTAAATATAAGGTCAATCGATTTTAAATAATTATGCAAAAATACATAAATAATTTTTTTTGGGGTAGTTCACTGATAAAATGAAGATTTCTTTTAAATATTTATTTTTATTTACCTCTAAACTTTTTTGCTGTGCCAATCATTATTATAATGTGTTTTAATTAAATGAATATAATTATAACTAAATATGTGTGTGAATGTTATATTATTAATATAATTAAAATTCTATAATTAAATATATTTTGTAAGCATATCATTTAAATGTATTTCACTATTTTCAGTTACCTTTTAAACTTTTTGCTGTGTCAAATACCTTTTTGAGGTACAAATATTTAATGTATCTTAAATATAAGGTCAATCGATTTTAAATAATTATGCAAAAATACATAAATAATATTTTATATTTTTATATATATTATTATGTTAGATTTTCTATTCATATATTTATTTTATTTTTAATGTCCCTTATATTTAAGACATTGAAAAATATAACTTTTCTAATGTCTTCGTTATATTATATTATGTATTATAGCAGTATTATATTATATTAGCCCTATATTATATTATATTATTTATTAAAACAGTTTACCTGTTATTAACAGTATACCTTTTTGTTAATATATAACCTAATATCATCTCATATATATATATATTAATATAATAAAAAATAAAAAACATTTTAATTATAAAATGCAAAATAGTATCGTTTTCTTTAGTGGTCACTGCATGTACACATATGTGAAAATTCCACTGTAAATTTACCATAACATGGTTGAAGATGAAGACAGATGACCCATAAAGACCACCCACACCCTTCTCCTCACATCAGTCGCCACTACTCTGCATGCTGCAGGGGCAGTGACGTCACGGCCAGCCTCTCGCTCTCCCACAGTCCCTTCCTGCTGCATCACAACAGTCGCTAGTGGATCGGGTAACACTGTGCTATTTCCACTGCCTTGTGGAGTTTTTATTTCAATAAATGTAACAGAAGTCCTCATCGACAGCCTCAACCGTCAAGCCCGTCACCGTCAGTTCCAGCGGACGTCAGCGCAGCAGTCGACGCGTTTGAAGCGCAGTGGGAGATGGCCAGGCCAGAGCAGGTCCTGCTTCTAGAACCGCAGCACGAACTGAGGTTCCGAGGTGAGCTGAGAGACTGACACGGCCGTGAACTAGCGGCTATAACGCCCAGCACAAAGAGGGAGGGTCAACCGACGTGTTTTTTAGGGGTTACGGGCAGAAAGAGGCGGTGAGGTGGCGTTTCTGACAGGCCTCAGTCCTTGTAATAGTAATAATATGGCGCAGCGCCGTAATGGTGAATCGTTTTAGACTGCAGGCTCTCATTTAAATGTCCTTCATGTGACAATGACAGGTTAATCAAGTGTTCACTATTTTTAGCAGGAGACTGACAAGCACGTTAGCTCGAGCTAGCCTATTTTAGGCCTTGACATACAGGCTGTATTGGTGGGCTGGTTAATTCGGTTAGTATGAATCGGTGAAACCGGTGTTGCCATGTCCGCTTATTATTAGCGACGCTGCGTTGCATTTGTTTAAGAGAGTCGCTTATAAAAACGGGCTGTTGTGGTTTATTATGAGGTTATTTCCAGAATACAACAGAGACTTTTGTATGTTAGTGTTTAGCCTGTACACAAAGTGTGTATGTCGTTATTTAATGTGATATTTCTCTGTCACTCCGTGACTTAATTTCTCTGTTTGAATGACCGCTGTGAGTAAGCTGTCAAAGTCGAGCTTCATTTCTCCTCATGTTCAGATGAACAGAAGGAGAAATAGTTCCTATCTTAAGCAAGAACAACTGGGCCGCGTATTTTGGCTTCTTTTGGTTAAGCAAGTTGATTCTTTTTGTCTTATTTAATCAGAACTGGTAGCGTATTTTTTTCTAGCAAAATCTGGCAACACTGATACCTACCTTGAAGCTGCTTCCAGTCAGGAAGTCTCCGGCACCAGTGAGAAAGATTTGACACTTGTACTATTATTTTACTGCCATGGTTCATAGTTCCACCTGACATGGATATAATTATTATAATGATGTGGTCAAATGACTTGCGTTGGGATTTTTGTGAAAACACATAATGTTTCATTGAAACTGGCATTTCATAGGCGTCTGGAAGGTTTGGGACTTTTAGTTCATGTTCATGTGCCATTTTATGTTTAGCGTAAAAGGTATAGGTATCACCAATTGCTATGGACCGCAGACCAATGCTACATTGTTGTATGTTTATAGCATATGCCTAGTATTTATTAAAGTAGGCATGAAATTAAATCTGTTTTCTAAATGCATATTATTGATTATATGATTACAATTCATATATGTATATATTATTATTTAGCTGTAACCTCACATTCATCTGCCTCCATTTTTGAGTGCAATTCCCACATCTCAAAATCCAATCAACATTTAATGAATGAACCAAGTCCCCGCCCTACTTTTTTTTTTCAATAATCTATTACATCCATTTCAAATCTGTCACTAAATCTGTTTCATCACACTTTAAAATCAAATAAGCATCACTGTGTATATATTTTTCCTTTACACTCCAACAATCAATAATTGCTAGTATTAACGGCTATTTATATATTATTAATAGTAACCAGTCCATTAGTCAATAAATCTTCTGTATGCACCTCATGTGTAACAGTGGTTTCCGGAACGGAAATGAACTTGCTTAAACTGCTTCTTCCACAAATATCTGAGTGGGTATGTAATTAGTTAGTCTGTACAATTCCACTAGTATAACCCATTCAGGCTGATTTTGCAGATATTTTGTGAACATTATAAGCAGCACAACACATATCACATTGACAGGATAATCAGTTATCATTTACTTACTCTCAAGTCATTCCAAAACGATTATGTTTTTTATGTGAAATATAAGATATTTTGAAAAATGTTGCTGTGTTTCTTTTGTTCATTCTGTGGAAATCAGTGGGCGCCGATATTGTTTTGTTCCCACCATTCTTCAAAATATCTTCTATTGTGTTCTACAGAAGAAAGAAAGCTATATAGTTAGGCCTAGGGCTGGGCGATATAGCTAAAAAATTTATCAACGATAACAAAACAGCATCATGTATTTATGCATTGCTTAATACAAAGAGCCGAATCGCCATTCACACAGATTGCCTTTAAAAACATATGAGATGCAGTGAAAAGGAAAAAACTCCACAAAAATGCGCGACGTGTTTTCTAAAAGTTTAAACTGTTTTAACTTTGCATGGCTGTCTACATCTCTTGTGTGAGACGCGAATGCAGCAGTCGTATTTGTCCGTCTAGAAAATGTGCTGAATATGTGTTCTGTGTGAATAGCTTGGTTTCGGTTTTAAAGGGGTCATATGATGCGATTTAAATTTTTCCTTTCTCGTGGAAAATAATGTGTTTTTTGAACCTTAAACCGCAT